TCTCCCTCTCTTTCCCTGTCGTCCGCTCGTCCTTTTGGATGTTACCTGCGTCATGAATGTTTCGATCTGGCTGTAATTGGCAATTGTCTTATTCAGCTATTCGCGTCGTAACCACCGTAAGGATTGTATTACGGTAGTGTGGCTACGCTAGTTGCGGGTGTCAGTGGTCAAACGTGGGTGATATCTATATCGAGTCTTGTTTCTATTTCTTTTCTATTCTATTTCCTCTTCTTTTGGCCTTCGAGTAGCGTTACCGTCTTCTTCAGTATGGCTGCGCCACCTCGAAATGCCTGTTTTAACTGTGGTCAACTGGGTCATTGGTCTCGGGAGTGTCCCCACCCGAGGACAGCGTATCAGAGGCCTCTCGTGGCGACGGGGGCAAATGCGGAGCCTATTTTGGCATTGTCGGCTCCGAGCTCGCAACCTCCTGCCATGGCTCCCCCGGCTGCTGTCAATACCTATGCTGCGCAGCCTCGTTCTGGATGGTGGAATCGTAATCAGCAGATTCTTGATAAGTGCAATGCTTTCGTCAGCAAGGCTGAGCAAAAAGAGAGGAATGAGCAGGCCGCGGAGGAGCGGCTGAAGCATCAGCGGGAAAAGGAGGGGGAGGCGGCCCGGATTAAGAAGGAGCGAGAAGAATTTGAAAACCAAAYGRRGGAACGATTGGAGAATAGGTTGGCTACTATGTATGACTCMATCATGGGGAAGGGTGTCAACAAGGCCAGYAGTAGTTCAGTTGAGGAGGAGGTTAGTCGTCTTCGACGTGAGAACGAAGAACTGCGCACCAAGTATAGAATTACGGAGCAGTTGCCAACAACAAATCTTGTGGACCGTTTACAGAAGGAGAATGGAAAGCTCAAGAAGTTCGGGGAGGAGTTGAAGTTACGTATGGAGGGGGACCTCGCGGCGTTGAAATGGGAAATCCGGGGTCTCAAGGGGCATCACGAATCAGCAGGGAGAAGCTGTCTAACCAAGCAAATCGAGGAATTGCGCGTGGAGATGGAGGAGGCACTGCGGAAACGGAATGAAGAATATGAGGAGGTTGCGCATCTATGGAGAAATGAAGCCCTTCAACCTGGTAACAAACGTGGTAGTATCAACATTTCGACTCCCATGAGTGAAGGCCGCACGGCGACTCGGTCCAGGCTAAAGGGTACTCCGGAGGAGACTCGGCGCTTACGGGCTGAGTTACAGGATCTGCAGGAGCGGCGCCGTTGCGACTTGACTGAGGTTGATATGCTTAAGGAGCGTCGCGCAAAGGCGGAAGCCAAACGTCTTGAGGCGGAAGCGGAGCTCTCTCGGCTACGAGAGCAAATGGCGTTGTTATCTACTGAGTAGACGGGTGGATCTACTCGTCGTGGTGTAGGTACGAACCTCAAGGAAAAGATGGAGGAGGCCGTGAATACTGGGTTTCGTACGGGTAGGCGTGGTAGGGTGAAGATGACACCAGGGAGAATGTCGAGGGACGACAGTGTCAGGGAGGCCAATGATAGATTCGTTTTCTTACAGGAGGTCTGGAAGAGGCTTAAGGCTCTCAAGAAAGGAGGCCTGGAACCATTGTGCAAAGAAGCTAGGATTAAGTACAAAACGGTGGAGATTACTGTGGACGAGTTAGCGGAGCTCAATGCGGAGAAAGTGTTTGGCGGTAGTAGCAGTTCGAAGGACAAGGCAGATGCAGGGCAAGATCAAGGTAAGTCGGCTTCTGGTGGTAGTAGCGTTGCGGTTGTGGAGGAGGTCCCGTCGGACTCCGCTTGATGGGACTTCCGAAATGCGACACTATGGAAGTTGGCTAAATCTTGTCGGGATCATAGGTCTTCCTCTACTTCTTCTCTAAGAAACGGTGCCTGGAATTACTTTTTTCAGACGGTCGTTTTGTCTCTAATCTTACGTGGATTCCCCTGGGCTGATAAATTCCATTCTTATCTTTTGTCTATGATCAATGAAGGTGGTGATCTTTTTCAGTGCAAAGGTCCTTTAGTTTATGTTCTTCTGTCTCCTTGGCACAAGCACATCTATGTGGGGTCGACCGGTCGGGCTGTTAACGTACGCTGGGGAGAGCATGTATATCGAGCCTGTAGTATGACGGTTGTGGAACGGGGTGAGAGGAATCACAAGCTGTACAACTAGTTGCGACGGTGTGGACCGGAGCACTATGTTGCTTTTCCCCTGTTTCGTTGCGAGGAGGCGGATTTGTTAGATCTGGAGAAGTATGTGATCCGAAGGTTCAATCCCTTTCTCAATAGCAGGGATAAGCCCAAGCGCCGAAAGAAATCTCGGCCCGGTAAGCGTGAGCGCGAAAGATGGAGGTGGAGGGAGGATGAACGAAAAGCGGTGACGAGTGGGAAAGAGTACTCCAGGTACTTGCACACCTCTTTTGTCACGACGGATTGCGTTCGGTCAACTAGCCTACTGCGGTTACTCGAAGGTGCTCGATCTTCTGGAAGAAAGGAGCTTACTGTACATTGTCACGCGGGGACGCACTTGTGGATAATTGGAAGATTGTGAGATGTTGTTTTGGGAATTCTACTGTTGACACTGTTTTTGGTGCAGGGTTGTTGAAGAAGTGTCGTGGCTGGTTGAATCATGGGGTTACTCTGCATTTTAGCTCCATTCTGTATTTTTGTTCGACTCTACTATGTTTGAAACCGATTCTTCTTGGTTTTTTGAAGGAACCTGCGACGCGCGCAAACTTGCTGGGTTGGGATTTGGAGAGGTTAGTTGGGTTGTTCTCTGCTATCAGGTGCTTTAGAGAGAAAAGGACTGTTTTACCTTGCGATGCGTGGTCAGCGGGTCTATTAAAAGGCTTTTTGGATTTTATGTCCGGTCTCGGCTGGTGGTACGGGTGACCTATGATGTGTGCCTCAGTAAGTGCGAAATTAGGAGAACGTGCTGTGACCTTTTGCGCAGCTTGGATGTTCCGGACTGTTTGCGGGAAATGGTAGCAACAAGAATGAGGGTTGTGTGGGTTAAAAATCAGAGTGTGAGTGACATTCTATTCAATTTACGAAATGTATCGAGACGATCTGAGCATGTGTGCGTCTGTGCAAATGAGGACCATAGGCACATCTGTTTTCGATTGGCATCAGCGGCGTTTGTTCCGTCTCTTATGAGAAACTCTCGTAATATCCCTTACCCTCCTCGCTCTACTTCTCGCCGAAATTTGGTACGGCAGATTGCTGCTTCTTTCGACCAGCTTTCCTTTCTACCCAAACTGAGTGAGGGGATGGTTAATAAGAATTTGCTTGACTCTTGTTCCAATAACACGAGGATTGTGGATGATCATTGATCTTGATGCATCAAGTATGGAGTGTGTCCTTCATTGGGAGACGAAATTCAGCGAATTGGTCAAGGTCCCTATTGACCACAATGCCGGGGACACGTTGGTCTGTTGCCCGGTGGTTTATAGAAGAAGCCTGGATAAGTTGTTTCTCGAAAATCCTGGTTTTGTTCCTTGTCAGAATGAAGAGGACGTTATCAGGAGTTGTGCGGATCGTTTCCGTGATGAAGGGTTCGGAAGGTTGGGAAAATGGAATAAGGGAGGGAAGATGGGGCAGGCGTATATTGTGCCAAAGCACAAGGACATCGAGAAATGGCGGCCTATCTCCCCGACCCATTCGGAGTGTGGTGTTGGCGCAAGCAAGAAAGCTGCACAGGCAATTAATCAAATGTTATGGGATCTTCCCTCGGCTACCAATTTTAATTTGAAGAGCGTGGCTGAGTTGGCCTCGACAGTGGGCAGGGTCAATAAGGAGTTAAGGAAAGGGGAAATTTTTGTTAGTGCCGCATTTGATATTAAAGAAATGTTTTGCAATTTACCACATGGGTCTATTATGGACGCAGTGAGGTGGGT